ATACTTTAAGACTTTTACTCAAGTGATATTCCTAAAGGAGACTTTAACTTTTATTAAAGTAATTTTTGGTACTTTTACTCAAGTGATATTCCTAAAGGAGACTTTAACTTTTATTAAAGTAATTTTTGGTACTTTTACTCAAGTATCACTTTGTGGTACTTTATACAACACTGACCAAAAAAACAAACAAAAAAAAACCTGCTGTTTAGTGAAAAGTGCCTGAGGACAGATGAACCAACCCATCATGATGATGATGATGACTAAGTGTTTGTCCCTGACTGATAAAACTACAGATACGTTTAGGTGCAGAGTTCTCTCATCACCATCTGTCTGCTGTACGTTCAGACTCTTCTTCACATTCCCATAGGAAGTGAGTTGAGCTGCTCTCAGCCAATCACACCAACGGATAACGCTCCGACAACAAACAAAAGATCGAGCCTAGCCGAGCTTATTTTACTTTGTCGATCCGTCTGCTTCAACCTCAGTAGTTCCTTTGCTCCCMACGCAGACCTGTTCATCTGTGTTCCAGCTACTTTTTCTCGGAGCGTATGCGGCAGATATTGTCCTTCTGTTGTCACTATTCGTGGCTGTGTGTCAGCTAGTGTCAACCTGAGCCATTTCAGAGATCGCTTTGCCTTTGCTGGCCGAGCTAAAACACGTTAGCCAGGWTAGCTGCAGGCTAACCAGCTCTGGCTGCCTCACTGCGACCAGCGAAGCCAGTTAGCTTAGCCTGCTAGCTAGCTAGCTTTGCTACGACACCCTTTAAAAACTTGACACCGACTGACTCCAGTCGGTGGTTCTGGCTTGTTACCGACAAGCCGCCCTCACTGAAAGCTGCGTCGTAGCCATGTCTGGACAATCGACGGGCTGTGGGTTTCTGATGTCGGTTGTAGTCCATGGAGACTCGGCTCTGAACGAGCAGGAAAAGGAGCTCAACCAGCGACTTCGACGACTCTATCCAGCAGTTAACGAAAACGAGACCCCGCTTCCGCGGTCCTGGAGCCCGAAGGACAAGTTCAGCTACATCGGGCTGTCTCAGAACAACCTCCGTGTGCACTATAAAGGTATGACACGAAAGCCCCTGTCAAGTTTAGCACTTTATTGCCCGATGCTAACACGTTAGCCTAACTTCACGGTCTGAAAAAAGGAGCAGCTGCCGCTGTGGCTAAAAACAAAGTAGGCTCATCAACAACAAGACAGAGGACATCTTGCAACCCGACCAGCTGGTGAGGTGTAGCCACTGCCAAAATTCACCTACCAGCTCGTTAGCTTTGCTGCTACCAGTGTCAACCAGTTTGTCAGCACTGTGAACTGTCACAATGAAGCTTCCTGTCGAGCTATCTGTTGAAATGTCATTAATCTACAACAGTATAGTCACCTTTTGACTAAATACACTCACGAATGGTTTGGATCAATTTGAATCTTTAAAACTAGCATCGTTCAGAATTTGTAGGCTAATTTAGCATTATTAAATGTGGAGAAAAAACAATGTCGATAATCGAAATTGTCCTYAGAATAATAATTATCTCGCTTTCAGGACATGGGTTGATTCTTGTTGCTGAGGGTTTAATATCAAGTGTCTTGTTTGACATTCAGGTTGGACTAGTTGCTTAGCAAAGCTATCATGATGAGGGTTTTGAGTGCAGCAGGCCTAGGAGAAAAGGCTAGTGCTTTTTTCTTTTTGTGTAAAAAAAAAAAAAAAAGGTGCAACTATGCTTCCTGGGTGTGTTCCACTATTCTGGGTCTGACTGGGCTTCTGCACTCAGAACTGTACTCTTYCTTGTTGCAACTAGAGTGTACTGCACCATAAATTCACCTGAACCTCATGTAACAGGTATGCAGATGTGGAGCAGCTTCAGTATACAATATTACAAAATTTAACTTATGTAATCAGCATATATTTTAATATAAATACTAAGCTTTAAAAGTCAGACCATCTTTGATACATCAGATTTGTCCTCATCAAATGTTTATTAGCTTAACTGTACATTACATTATAATTAACTTATTTATCTAAAGTCACTTTTATTTAAATGCTAAGGCCTGGCAAATTTGGCCATTTTCACATAATCGGAGCTAAAAATAAACATCTTCATTTAATTGGCAACTATTTTAATAACTATTTTATAACAAGTGTAAGTGATACAGCCAAAATAGTAAGTAAAGTTTTATTTATATAGCACCTTTCATAGAAATAGATTCACAAGGTGCTGTACTATCAGAGGCAAATCAAAAAATATACAATCGGAACAGGATATACAAAAATTTGGAACAAAAAATATAAAAGCTGTACAACTATCAAGGTATCAAGACTGTGCAATCCGAAAAATAAAACAAGTAAATAATATCTAGACAAAAATGGGGAGGGCAGAGTAAAACAATAACATATTAAGATGGAGGATTTTTAAATCAGWAATTAAAAAATGAAATACAGTAGTAGCATCATCCTAAATAAAGAACTGGAGCATAGCCTAACGATATTTGGATACTAAGTTGTGCTTAGGATGTATCTAAATCTCTGTGTCCGGGTCTCTGCCCTGTTCCGTGGGAGTTCCGCAGGGTAGCATACTGGGCCCATTGCTTTTCCTGTTATACATAAATGACCTTCCAAAAATATTGAAGTATTCAAATATTTTAATGTATGCTGATGATACTGTTCTTTTTTTGTCTGATTTCTATATTGAATCTATTAATAGTCAGTTACAAGCAGATCTTCAGACATTTCATGGTTGGCTTCAAGATGATCTTTTGTCAGTTAATGTTAAAAAAAGTGTGCATGTATTTTTCCTTACCCAGGAGACATTTCAACATAACAAATCAACTCACTTTTTTAAACAAACCCCTTGATATTGTCACTACCTACAAATATCATGGAATTACTTTGGATTCTCATTTGACTTATTCTGATCATGTACAAGTCTTAACCACTAAGTTGAAACATAAATTATGCGTTTATTCAAAAATTAGATCCAATCTGACATCTTCTGTTTCAAATATCGATCTTCATGCCATTATACTCTCAACCATGTCGTACTGTTTACCTGTTTGGTCTCTTACAACAAATGAAATCTTAGAACCCATAGTTAGGCTCTA